TGAGCTGCAAACAAGGTTCTGCGTGGGGCTGCGCGGCTCGGCTGGTCGGTTGATCGGTCCGCAGAGCCGCTGAGCTCTGTCCCCAGGCTGGGGCTACCAAAGGGTGAGCTGCTGAACACCCCTTCTGCTGCCCTGCCGGTGAGACCCCCGGTGATCCCCTGTGTTTGCATCGCTACACGGCGCCCGAACTTTCGCCAGGGCTGGGGTGCGCCGGGCTGCCCGCTGCCCTGGGCGTGTTTGTGCCCAGCGCCTGGTGTCTACGCAAGAAAAGGAGAGTTTTGTTGCTTCCATCAAGGTAGTTTAATGATTGATGGCAGGCACCAGACAAATGGTTAAATATTTGGTGCTTGCGGTCACCCTTGAGTACGAGGAGCGTGCTGTGGGACCAAAGGTGCCCGCTGGCGAGCGAGGACCTGGGTGGTGTGGGAAGCCCTCCCGGGTCACGGCAGCGAAGCCGGTTTTCCGTGGGCTTGATACCCAGTGGAGAGCAGTGTGTTCCCTCACCCTCGCTGGATTCTGGATAGTAAATCTTTATGTAAATATTATAGTGCTGGAAAAGGAAACTCTAAGCAATTTTTTTTAGTATTTTTTAAGATTTGGAAAATAAATCTTTCCTCTCCCCAACTGTTGCTGAACTCCAGGGGCCTTCCCACCACCCTCTGAGATCTGTAGCACATGGAGAGAAAGGATAAGATGTCAGATGTCCAATACAGAAAGACAAAACCACTGAAGTGGGCTGTTGGTGCTTGCCCGTCGCTTGTGCGTGGTGCTGTCCTGAGACAGCCCCCCCACTGGCAGCTTCACCCTGGAGAGCCCTGGCTCTGGACCTGCCAGCCTTGGTCCTCGCTAAGGCTTGCAAAGAGGTGCAGAGGTTGGAAAGGCACCGCTGTCCTCTGACAGTGCCTGTGACGCGCTGTCACGTGTCGGGGCATTCGATGACTTCCTACGGCCCGAATTTTACAGAGAAGCACCCTGTGCACCAGTTGTAGTAGATAGTTACTGGCCACGGCAGGGTGATGGTGTTGCTCCATACCATCGGGTGCTTGGCCCCCGTGGAGGAGCGGGGCCGCAGCCGAGGTGGGCTTCGGCAGGGGGCGTGCCAGCTGCTGGGCTGGTGGTGGGGGGTGGAGGCGCCATGGGCTGGAGGTCCACGCGGCGCTGGTTGGCCCGGCGGTGGCTGGCGCGAAGCGTGAGGACGGGCAGAGGACAGTCCTTGGGGCAATCTCCTCTGCTCGGTCAGGAGCAGCGCTGACATTTTCCAGCCCCGCAGCTGTGCCTGCACCACCATGGGTTGAAGAGCCAGCAGTGGATCTGCTGTCGAGGAGTTTGTGTTGACCCTTTCTGCGTCCATCTCTGCCTTTGGCCATGCCAGCGTGCTGTGGCCATGCTCCAGCTGGAGGCTGGGTCCTGCAGAGAGGAGCCTGGTACCTCTGGGGCTCGCTGGGTTCCTGGGGAGGGAGTGATCCTTCTCCAGCCCCCTTCCCCATCCTTCCTGGGGGTTTTATGCCTTCTGGGTTAATCCCTTCTTGATTATCGTGAGCTGAAGAGTCCTTGTCTGTAAGTCTCTCCTTGCGAGAGCTCTGGCCCGTGGGTGAACCTCCACTCCGCGGCATCTGCCCGTGCTAAGCCTTGCGGCCGGGCTCTAGGACGGGGCAGAGGCTGCAGTCACCTTTGTGCCGCCTCCGTGTTGCTTGCTCGGAATCCTCAGCTGTGTGTATCCCTGTCTTTGCAGTGTATTGTCAGAATTTTGCCCCGAGCTTTAAGGAAAGCGAGATGAATGTGATCGCAGCCGATATGTGCACCAACGCCCGCCGGGTCCGCAAGCGCTGGCTGCCGAAGATTAAGTCCATGCTGCCGGAAGGGATGGAGATGTACCGCACGGTCATGGGCTCCACCACAAACAGTGTCCCCCTGGATCCGGAATTCCAGCCCAACACTGCTCAGGTCTTTGAGCAGCGAATCTATGCAGAAAGGAGGAGCGATTCGGGAACTATAGTAGCCTTGAGAACTAACACGGTGAACGTAGAGCTAAGCAATGGATCCAACCAGTCCTTCGAACAGAGCGAGGACGCCGAAGGGGCTGGCTGGGGGATACAGGAGGCAGCTGCCACGGATGCTATGGCATCGGATACCCAAAGCACTCCGCAACCTTTTGAACAAGGTTCGGGCTCCTCCAGCCGGCCCGAAACTCCCGTGAGAAGACAAGATGGTACTTACGGAGGGACTTTATAAAGAGGGCAAACGTTTCGTGACCTATAAGGGATCTGTAATACTAAAGCTGCTTGCATGCATTACTAATACGAAACAAAAAAATGTGATCAAGCCACTTACCTACTGAACTGCTACTGTTGCCTGAAAAAAATGTGATTTTTATTCTGCTTGTATTTAAAATTTATGAAGGAAATAATTGCATTCTTTATACTGTAAATGACAAGGTCTGTGGCGACCTACTTAAAAAAGAAACTATTGGGCTCCTTTTTTGATATTCCTGAGGTTAGTCTATAAGATTGTAGCTTTTTTCTTTTTTTTTTTCCTTTCTTTTTTTTTGAAGAAGGGGAGGAGAAAAGCTAACCACCCCCCCCCAACCACCACCACCCCCGTCATCACCACCCCATCCATTACTCAGCTCAGAAGTAAAGCCATCGTTAACCTTGTCCTCGAGAGGAAGTTTTACCGTCACTTCACAGGAAAGCGAGGTGCGTTAGGGTGCGGGCGCCGTGGCCGGCCATGTTTGCCTCTAGCAGAAGGGCTCTAGCCAAGTGGGACAGGGGGGGGGAGATCGTGGAAGGCTTCTGGTGTCGGCGGGGGGCGGCCCTGGCGGGGGGGAC